ATTTTTGAATATCTAACGTTTTCGACTATCAGCGTAGCTATCGTCGGGATCGAACACTTCTGAATAAAATTCTTTAAAGTTTAAATATTATATTCTCGACAAGAATTATTTAAATATCTTCTGAATTAGCGAACTGCGATACCAAAGACTAAAACAAATAGTTCGTATACGCCACAAGTTCTTAAAGTTATTTCGACCACCGCCCACTTTGAGATAAAAAAAAAATCTAGTGCCCTCATATTTTTTAACTTAGACAACGGATGGTAATGTAAAAAGGTATCTTAAAAACAGTTATTGTAAATCTAATGTTTAAACATGCACTATTATATGGATAGGATAGATAGGGTGTGATCCATATCCTATTTCTGAGATCAAAGAATGTTTCAATGAGAAGAAATAAAACTCATATTTAATCACAGAGCCTTCTACTGCCCCCCCGAAAGCCTCTGGCGCCCACTTTGAGAAAGGATGATATACGCATTTATTAACTTTATTTCTATTTTTATATTTATTTTAAATTTATGTATTTATTTATTTTATTCTGTATACTTTTATACATAATATTTAAGCTTTAAAGAATTTTATTCAAAGATGTTCGATCCTGATGGCTACGCGGATAGTCGAAAGCGTTAGATATAGCCTACTGTATTCAAAAATAGATACTGGAATAGGTTTCTCTCTTTAAATAATATTTATAATTGTTGAGAGATCGTCGGACGTATCTTATATCGAGGTTGTTCTGTTCGACGATTCGAACGTCAAAACTCTCGTTTAGTTTTTTAATTCACATTTTTTTTATTTTCGCGATAAAAATATCAAATTACTCTCGAAAAAGAAATGTAATTAAGGTCGAAAATGTTTCTACTTCCTTTAAAACAAGTATAAGTGAACAATTTTTCTATATTATAAAAAAAAAAATAGTTTGTAATTAGCGAATAATTATTTAAACCGAGGAAAATATTTTACCTTTCCTATTGTCACTCGTCAAATATAAAATTTATATTTGACAAATCTTATTTATATAAAATAAGTTTTGTAATATTGACAAAATGTTTAAAAAAGCTTCGAGAAACTAAATTCTTTAACGCGTTGTTCTATTTTATTTAAAAATCGACCGACCCTGCATCGTTATCGTTTTCGTGTTGTAGAAGGCATCGAATGAGCCACTGGAACCGGTTTCGAGTGTTGTATAATAAAACGACGACGTGTAATTCCAATTGTTTCGTTTCGGTCGAAATACGAAGAGTGGCCTGCCGCCGCCATCTTTTCCCAACTGTCAACGAAGGTGGTTTTATCTCGCCCAAACGAATTTTTCGCCTTCGAAACTCGGTTGTCTCCTTAAATACTACGTAATCCGTTGTTTTTATTTATTTTATTTTTTGCGATTTATGAATTGTGTTTTTGTATGTTGTTCTTATCGAAACTTTTATTCTTCGATACAATTCTTATCGTAGATTTCGCAGAGACGTATTTAAACGAGACGAGATGAAATGTCTCTGGTAGTGTGTAGTGTGTAAAAGAAATATCCGGGATAAAGTAAAAGTAGAGTTTAATCGTTTTCTTTATGAAATGTACACGTTCTTAAAAATACTTCGAACATTTTACTATGTATGTAATTATACACATCGTCGTAATTTGGCCACATATTTTATCCCGGACGATAGCTTATTTTGTTAGTTTCTCTTTATTTGTGTCCGTGTGAACTGTGGCCTCCGCATAGTTTGAATCCGTCTTTCCAACCTTTCATCCAACCGTCCCAATAACTCCCGTGGCCAATACTACCGTGGTGTCCGTGTCCTCCGTGCCCGTGGTGTCCGTGCAACTCGTGGCCGTGTCCGTGATGCCCATGCAATTCGTGCCCGTGACCATGTCCGTGCAGCTCGTGGCCGTGGTGCCCATGCAATCCGTGGCCGTGACCATGTCCGTGCAATACGTGACCGTGGCCATGGTGTCCGTGTAACTCGTGGCCGTGTCCGTGATGCCCGTGCAATCCGTGGCCGTGTCCGTGATGCCCGTGAGAATGACTTAAAAGATGGCTGTGATGACCCGTCTCCGCAGCTACTCTTTCCACCTTGGAATTACTCTTCGAAAACTGCTTGACGGATGTATTCTCCGCGGCAACGATGCAGCAAAGAGTAGTGTATATCCATATCCGAATATTCATCTGAAATATGGAATTCAAACATTTCTCTATTAAACAGTAATTAATGATTACTAATTACCGAAAACATTGGCATAAAAGTAAATTCGTATCGATAAATTTTGGATGCGGAGAATTTTGTTCTTTCGCGAACCGTATGTAAATTGCGAACGACCGTATCGCCGTGTCGTTATACGCACATAGTGCGTATAATTCTGTATATTTGGATACGTTAAGATATTTTGGGTATTTTAAGCATAAAATAACTTACTAAAGTCAATAACGAGTATAATCATTTATAAAATAGAAATTGAAAGACTGGTTAGATGGTCTGGCTTACCGTTTGCTGGGAGAAGCGGCTTTAACAGAAGTGTTACTTAAAATCGTCACAGTCCCTTTATATATGTTTGCATCCGTAAAACGATTCTTCCTCCCATTAACGTCTTTTTCTAATAGTTTTTTCATTATATTTTACAAATTCGGTCGTTCCAGGCATTGACGTTTTGTCAAATCGACGTTGGAATTTACGATGCGTGACGATCGGGTGCGTATTGGTTACGGCCGTTTTCGGATTATCTGACAACGTAACAAACAAATTTCTGTGATTTGAGGGCATAAAAAATTGTCGAACGAATGGGTTTGACCAAAAATGCCGTCATTCTATTTGTTCTCTATAAAAACGCGGAGAATATAGACGCGATCGACACGGTAGCCGATTGTTTGTCACAGATAATTACGTAGAGGAGGAAAATTGTAATCATTTTTAGAGAAAATCGATTTTTCTCCAGAAAAATCCATAAAGGATAATGCTCGATTGATTACAGAAAGTAGAGAAACCTCTTGTCACCAATTCATATTCGCACGGTTTCGCCTACAGATTCAATCCACTAATCCGTTATTAATTGCCACGGCAATTAAATTAATTTCAATCTATTCTTATTCCATTTATTTACGTCCAGCAATAATCGTCGATCCATCCGAGTACTGTATTTGCTTTTACTCTTGGAATTTCAACAGACGGCTGGAAGGTGATTTAAGTTTCTATTAACTCGGCTCCGTGTCGTCGTAATAAAGAGTTTTTATTCGATTTCTGTTAACCAGTTATTAAATATCATTTTTATCGAGATTTTATTTTGTAGAAGATAACTTTAAAATATTTTCCGTCACTTTAGTCAGTCTACAGATAGACGGTCGGATGGCCCGGGCGATTACGGCGTCATTTCTATAGTACTTCTAGGGGAATTTTTCGTGGGCGACCGTTTTAAACAAGGGTTTGAAAAGGCATTGTCAGTGCCTTTTTAAAAAAGTCTATAGAAAAGTATTAATAAGAAAAGGAAACTTCTTGTGTATATAGACGTGATCCGTAGCGTAAAGCGAAAATTGCTTTTTATATAAGATAACTATAATTAATAATAATATCAAACCGTAATCGAGGTTCGGTGCGTGCGACACTATAACATAATACTAGTGAACCGTAGACTACATTTGTTACGTCGTAACGTAGTTTTACCTTCATTTATGCAACTAAGGTACTGTTTTTTCAGTTTTTCCACGCACCCATCGATTAGGTTATCTTCACAATAAGATATACGTTGGGTTTTCGTATTAATCATAAATGTTACTGTCGGGATGGTCGGTGGTTTGGAAAATTCGGGCGTGGTGGGTACTTTGGAAATTTCGTAAACAAATTCCGGTGTTCCGAGGGTGTCGCCTACGCGAAGGAAATAATCGACGTTTTATTTACTCGTCGTCGTTTGTGAGACTCGTTAGACGGAGATTTATCTGTTTATTTTTCAGACGTTTTTCCTCCTCTGCCAGACCCGCTCTAATTTCCTCCGTTTAAAATGTATGTCTCCGTTAAACGAACCGCGACCGACTGGAAAATGGGGTTCGGTAGAAACTTCTGCTTATCCCGTTCTAATATAACGACAGATTCGTTTGGAAAGAATGATTAAAATAAACTCTAACAATTATATTGAGAAAGCAAACGCCGGAGCTTTTTCCACGTTGATTTTGGACCGGAGCCGTAACCAAACCTTGGGGTGGGGAAGAAGAGGGGGAAACTCCGTTTTTTTCCGTCGTCCTTCAAATCTTCGTAACACTATAACGAGACGTTTGTAACGGTAAATAGTCGTCAGACCCAGACATTTACATGGAAATTACTTTGTCTCTTTTCCGTTGGAAAATAAAACGTTCTCCTTTATAAAAAATAAAACGAGCCTTTTGCTTTGTCCAATCTGGGAAAATTTAAATGTATAATTTAAAATTTTATAATTTTTAAAGGTTTAACTTCGGAAGTTACCAACGGTTGTTTCATAAACCACAATCGCGTCTTTATACAATTTCCAGGGCTTAACTAAAATGTTCGATGGCCAACGGATGCAGTTTCGCTATCTTCATTTTCTACACACGTTTCGAACTAAGTTATTTCTATAACGTGTATTGACCGCGGCCACCGTGGAAGTAATTTTATGGGATAATTCCGCTCTCGTTCCTTATAAAAGCCGTGGGATGGCGGAGGATAGAGGTAGCGTGCCTTAAAGATGCCAAGACGGGAGATGGAATCCGATCCATTCTTTTGTATTGCTCGTTTGGCGGCAGAAATCTCGGCTTCTCCATCCTATTATTTCGGACGTCGATGCCGGTTAACGTATTCTCCAATCGGTATTTTCGTAAATAAAACAGTTGTAAAATGTATTATTTTACCAAAGGCGAATCCGCGGATACAATTATTTCGCGTTGTAAGGTAATTTCGCTCGGAGCTATAAAAAGTTTTAAGACGAAATTGCAATAAACGGACAAAAAATGAAAAAATATTTTTATTCAACAAAATTAAATACGATGGAAGATAGGCCTTAACACTTGTCGACTACGTAAATAGGGGAGGGACGGGAGTGGGGTCAGTGCCATTTTTTGCCCCAACTTTTGTAACTCTTGTGGGCTCCGTGTTCTTGTTTGACGTAGTGGTGGACGGGAGTGCCGTCGGCGTGCCCTATTTTTAAGGGGCCCGAATAGCCGTAACCCGAACCGCCTCCTCCGAACCCGTGTTTCTCGCTGCAGAGTTTGAGTCCGTCGAACCATCCTTTCATCCATCCGTCCCAGAAAGTGCCGTGTTTGTGCGACAGACCCCCGAAAGTGTGGGCGAAGGACGAACTCTCCTCCGTCAAGAAGTCGCCGTCCTCGGGGGTGGATTTGGAGTGGAAGTATTGGGCGGAGGAGGGAGGAAGCAGGGAGAGGTGGAAGAGCGTCACCAGGAGGGGAATTACTCCAATCTGAAATAAAAAGTCAAGATGGTGTTATAAGAAAAATATTCCTTTTTTACCATTTATAAGTAGACAATCGATCATTGTTTTCCAACTGACCCAGAATCTCCAGACATTAAAAGAGGCATTGGAACGTCTTAACATTTTTCGCGCGGCTTTCCTTCTATCTTCGAGAATAGTCGCCGTGACGTTTTTTTTACCCTCCTTAGACGTTTACTACGAGTTTTTGGGTTCCGACTCGAATTTAATAATAATATAGAAATGGCGGGCGGGGAGAAAGAGTCGGTCGGAGGAAGGAGCCGAGCCGACTTTGGCTACGGCAGCCAAAAGGGAGGCGAGAAAGGCAAAAGGATGCTTACCATGATCGTCGGCGGATCCGGATTTCGACGGAGACGCTCCAGATCCGGATCGCTTTATATGTCGACTGTGGCGGAAGGCGGAGTTAACGATTGCAGATCGTAAATACGTCACCCGGTTCGACAAAGCCTTCTCCGCCTCCAGGCCTCTCCATTGGCAAAAATGATTAACTTTCCATTCATTTATGTAATTTATCGTTTAATTTTATGGAGATTTTTTGCCGTAATTGTTTACGCCGCTCCATTTACCCCGTAATTATAACGCGGGAGGAGGAAACGACGGTCTCCCCGTTTAATTGGGAAAAATTAATGAGATAGGCGGATGCCGAGGAATTTTATAGGCCAAAGGTCGGATTGGCGTACGCGTTTCCCGGATATTTTTCCTTCGGAAGTCAAACGGCAATAAATATGCGATCCCGCGCCCGCAATTACGTGTCCGTTTACGCAAATGGCCGAGTATCGACGTGTCCGGAGAACCATTTATTTATTTATTTTCTCTATCTCGTCTACCGGTAAATTACCCACCAACGGGTTTGACATCGGGCAAAAAATTACAAATTGTATAACTGGATTTTATTGGCCTAAAAATTCTCCGAGATTCTTGTTTGCGCCACGAAAAATCCATTTTTATCGGAACTTTTCGTGGAAAATTGACGAATTACGTAAAGCGGCCGGCTTCTAAAAGTTGCTTGGAATTATTGATAATCGTAGCGATTTTCATTAAAAATAATTTCTATTAATTGTAATGGGTCTTTAATATTTGAGGTGGATAAATACCATCGGCGTATAAAAAGGACGAAACTCTTCTCCGGTGGTAAATTGTGTGAAATTAGACTCGTCGACCAATTCCTTTTTCCTCTTATCTTTCAAAATAGCGCAATTTTAAATAAATTAAAACCGTTATTTTTCGTTAACGAACGGGAACCGGCCGCGGGTCACGGTGCGTGGCTTTAATTACGGACGATATTTAACATTGAAAATTGTTGGGGGACGACGGAACGGACTGCGTAATACCGAGACCTACATACGGCGCCGAATGTAGATCACTCGAATAAAGAGGAAATAAATGTCTAAATCAAGAAAGTAGGCTAAAAAACACTCTTCTACACTACCTTAATTATTAAGTTTTTGCTTTACTTTGTTTCGTTAAAACACGCGGAAAGAATCGGACGAATTTCATCGGTGGCATTACCCGAAGAAATACTTATTCCTATTTTACAAAATTAAAGTTAAAATAATTTTATTTAATGCCCTTTCGTTACACGTAAGTCGACGGACAATGCGGCTTCGTTGTTAAAATGTAGAACCCCGAAAATTCTGCGAAGAAAGAAGGCATTACTAACCACCTTCCGGATATTAAGTTATTTGTATCTTTCTAACGACTTACAGAAGAATACAGTCTAAAAATAACTGGTTTATAAAAAAGTTCTTCGCTCGGTTAATTCTTCTTTATCCCCCGGGTTTATAGTCCAATAATTCCTTCTGGAAAGTCGTAAGGAAACGAAGACGACTACGAAGGGACTCCGATCGAATATCTCTACGAGTTTTACCAATGGAAAATGCCCTTTTTCTATTTCTACCATCGAAATAAAAGAAAAGTATCAGTCGCGATAATGTTCGGGTTCTTGCCAAATGCCGCGTGGGAGGGGAGGATGCCACAACCATCCCACGCGACGACGGTCTCGGTGCCAGTGCCATCCCCGTCGACCACCGCGCTTTCTCTCTCCTCTTTTCTCCTTTCGTTCCTCGCTAGAGCCGTGTTTCTCGCCACTTTCTCCCTCCGGACGACGAGGTCTCTTTCTCCCCCGTTCTCTTTCACCTCCCTCCTCTTCCGAACTTCTTTCTTCTTCCGACTCCCAAGATCCTTCCGGTTCTCTTCGCCCGGACTTTCTGAATTTCCTTTCCTCTTTGCCGCGGATTTCTCTTTTTTCCTGCCAACTTTCTTCGTCTTTCTCCTTTTCGGAACTCTCCTCCTTGTCGTAAAAGCCCTTTTCCCGGCCATTCTCCTCTTTCAGCTTCCAAAATCGACGGTTTTTTATGTAAACGACGCGGGGGAAGAACTCTTCTTGGCTTTTGAAGTTCTTCCCGTACTTCGGCCGGGAGTAGTATTCTTTGTTTTCGCCTTTTCCGGATAATTTCCACCGTCTTTTCCGGAGGTAATCGAGAAGTCGGAGGGAAGATTCGGGTTCTCCGGATTTCCAGAGGCAGCTTCTCGTCCGGGAACAAGATTTCCAACTCCTAGTTTCTCGGGGCACGAGGGAGAAGCGGTTAGAGATTCCGTCGGATACGTCGGGCGCGGCTCCGCCCAAACCCGGCAGAAAGATCAAAAGTAGAACCCGCATCTGTAAGAAAACGGAGAGATTGAATGGAATGGAGGAGGGCGATTCTGCCGGGACGAGGACTTACCCTGGACTTTACTTCCTTCTCTAACCTACTAACCGTCCCTGTCGATTTTTATACAAGTGGCGGAGACCGGAAGTATTTTTGTGGCGAGATTCGTACACGGCCGTGTCCATTCTTCTTTTTTTTTTTTACAAAAAATCTTTATTACGGCAAATTATCCTTTTCTATTGAATTAAATTTGTATTCGATGCCGTTATTGTGTTGGAAGTAAATATTATCTTTAAAATATCCCGACCTCAAAACGAATAATAGAGCGATCGTGGGTTATATATAGGCCTATATAATAATATAACAATGTCTTACGCGTATTTTAGGTTTAATTACGAACTTCTTAGAAACTTCTTTACCTACGCGGGTAGAGAAAAGTTGCGGTAGAAAGAATAATTACCGGAGAGAAGGCGAGACGACGGCCGCGGAAGGAGGCTTTTCTCACAGTTTCCGGAAACTTAAAGGAAGAAATGTCTGGGAGGGGTCCGGCCGTCGTACGTCTTTATCTCCGCCGGAATTGTTTTTGCGGAAGCAACGGAAAAAATTACGTAAAATAATTTCGCCACGTAGGCAAACGGATAATCGCCGGAAAGAATCGGAGCGTCCATTTATCACTCCGTTAACGAGAGGAATAAATGAACAATTTGCTACTTTTTACGAACGAGAAATAAAATATTTGATTAATTCGATGGAAGGACGAGCGAGAAATTCTAAGCCGGGTGACGGAGGAGAGAAGAGTCAGGTGCCGCCGCCCGACGAGAAATCTCCGTGGTTATATCGAACCGGACCGTGGGAAAATTTTTCGTATTAAAAGATCGGCCGAACGACGGAAAATATTCCTTTTGGGGGAAATTTCCCAGGACCCGACCTGATATACGAAGTAGAAGCCGGCATCCCGCCACTCGTAAATAAACGTTTATCCCACTGGTTACGCCTTCTTTCTCGTAATTCCCCAGAGTTGCGAACTACCGATTTTGCGGAGTTGTCGGTGGCTAAAACCACAAAGAAAAGAGACGGAATTGCGTTTGGATTTCCCATTCGCCCAATCCTCCAAACGGAATTTTATTTTATTTTTAGTATAGACATTATGGCCAATTGGTTTTTTTCGGCTGTCTCTAAAACAAAAAAGAAGAATAACAGAAAAAAACAAAATTAAGTAAATAGCGTAAAGTTTAGTCGCGTCTTCCTTACAGCTAGTCCTTCGAGTTTGACCTTCGACATCGCGTCACGGAATTTGTAATTCGGTTGTTTATCGATTGACGGTAACACCCGCGTGTTTTTTTCTTTGAAAAAACCATTTAAGGCCCCAATACTTCGATTTCATTAGTTTTTGCTTCCGTCTTTCTATTTACTTACGAAAATTCGACCGAGAGGATGTTTTCTCGTCGTTGTTTCCAACTTCTTTGGTGGGTTATTTCTCGAATTTCTTTCTTTAGCCAGCTCCGATATTTTATGGTCTGGAAGACTTATCCTATAGAGAGTTTCGTAAGGGGTTTTAAGTAATTGTAGTTTCTCCCGTGGCTGTAGTTTTTTTCCCGCTGTATTTTTCCATTATATCGAGAAAACAGTGGCTCGTTTTAATCTTTATAAGTTTGAAAGTAAAAAGTAGGGTCTGTTTTGCCTATAAAGTTTTTATGTCGTTTATTTTTTCTCCATGGTAATCGGTGGAGATGGTTTCGTAACGGTTGGGTTTATATACGCCGGTATAAGTCGATTTTGCCGTACTCGCATTCTGTTTACAATCGGTTGCGGTTCCCCGTACAGACGTTTTACAGTATTAACGTTTAAAAAAGTTCCCAAGTTTCCTTTATTATACCCGCCAACTTAGCCACAGTCTCTTAGTTTGAATACGTCTGTCGTCTACCGGTTTTCCGAGATGTCGTTTACTCTATCTTATTTTCGTTTATTTCTTTCAATTTGTTCCTTATCGACGCTTTTATTTTTATTTACAAAACACGGGTATTTCGTTTTATTTGTATTTACTTTTAACATATTAGAACTCGTAAAGCGGTTAATCTGGATAGAACGTTAGTCGTTTCGCGTTGCGCCGCCCGCGGGTAATCGTCGCGGCGTATTACAACCATAATACCTCCCCCGGTTAACGTAGATTTTACTCGTCGTCGGTACATCGCCAATTCCAACGCCGACGTTACTCGCTTCCTTCGTCCATTAAACCTCTTTAAAATACCGTCGGAAAGAAACCGCCGTTAACCTAGCGCGCGGCTACGTAATCGGCGACGGAGGGTAGCGCCACGGTTTCCGGCTGGAAGCAAGTAAAAAACGCGGCCGAGAGCGGCTCCACTCGCCGTTTGTTGCCATATTTTATATCTTTAATTATTATAAAATGGCCGAAAGCTTAATTTCCGGGATAGAGACCAAATTTATAAAAAAATTTGTAAATGCTAATAACAGGTAAATTCGTCGTTAAGTCCCATCCCTCCGCAGATACGAAATCTTCCCGTCCCGCCACTTTTATCCACCCTCAAAATTTAATGGCGTGGATTTCCCTAATACCCGTATCTCCCGGCAAAACTTTAGAAATTTTCCACCGAAAAACGCGGAAACTGTTAAGCTCGGGAGCGGAAGCAGGAAATCGCCTCTCCCCGGGCGTACGGAAAAACCTTGGA